AATCTGACTGGTTTGAGTTCCTGAAACACTAATCTGACTGGTTTGGTGCTGTTTCTTTTCACGCATCATTGAAAGTAAAGCACTCGATTAAAATCCCTTGCCTGATAAATCCTCTTCATGCCCACAGCTCCGGCCTTGAAGCAGGAAGGAAGTCTTGTTTTATTCAGCTGTGGGACGTTTGTGGGGGTGCACTGGTTGGGTTTTCCTCCGGAGGCTCAGAGGAGAGTTTTTAATGCTCACGTGTTCCAGGCTGCAGCAGCAGTCCAGATGTGCAGTTTCTTCTAGGGTGCATGCTTGCTCTGCATTAATGAACTGGTTCTGATGTCATCAATCAGAACCTGAAGTTATCAGCAGAATTCAGCAATACATTAAGATGATCTCATTTCACCTGTCGGTTACATTTTTGGTGAACAAACTGCATAGTCCAAATTTATTCTACAACGCAGAACTTACAAATTAGCAGCCAGAAGTAATTAAAGCACAAATCAATCTGTTTTTCAGCAATCCTGCTTTCTCAAGTGTGAACACATCCACTGGCTTTTCTGACTCACCCCACTGTGCAGTTATGACACCACACTTGTAGCTGTACCGTGCTTGACCTTTTCTCATGCATTACCAGCTGATTGCATAATTTGTTGTGGACTTACAGTAAATCAACTTGCATGAGTAGCTAATGTAATTATTTCCAGATGTTCAGGGGAAAGCTGCTACTTTAACATGCCTCAAAAATACACATTTCAGTCTTTGTCTCTGATTTGTCCAGGAGACCGGAGGCACAGATTTCTGATGAAAAGAGAACATACGTGTTGCATGTAAATCTTTGCTGCAGCTTTGGAAACAAAAGCATTCCTCGTGGTTTGTATGAATGTTCTGATCATAAAGTCCACGGACTCCTTGTGGATCATGGCCTGTAGTGAGAGTAGGGAGCAGGAGATGTACTTTGGAAACAAAAGAAACAAGAAAAATTGTATTTCCTGCAAAAATGCAGTGTGAATGCTTATTGCAGAAGAACTTGCTGAAAACAGCTGAATTTGGCTAAAATATGCTGAAATGTACCATAGCTGAAATGGAAGAACAAGCCTAAATTAGCAGAAAAAAATAGAAAGAACAAATATTTGCTGAATTAGGTTTAAAAAAGCAGAAATGAGCACAAAACTTAAGAAATTAGCAACAAAAAAAAAGCTGAAATGAGCAAAAATAGCTGAAAATAAGTTAAAAATACAAAAAAAGAAGCTTCATCTACCAGAAGGAAGTGGAAAGAACTGAAATGAACTAAAAAAAATGGAATTAGCAGAAAAAGCTAAAATGAGCATTAAGAGAGTAGTAGACTAGCTCCTACTCAGCTATAGTAGCTGAAAGAGCAGAAAAAGCTGAAACTAGCAGAAAAAAGCTGAAAGGAGCATAAAGAAATGGATTAGGCTGAAAATAGCAGAAATTACAGGCAGCACGGTGGCGCAACTGGTAGAGCTGCTGCCTCTCAGCGAGCAGGTCCCTGGTTCAAACCCCGGTCCAGGTTCCTTCTGGGTGGAGTTTGCATGTTCTCTCCGTGCATGCGTGGGTTTTCTCCGGGTACTCCGGTTTCCTCCCACAGACCAAAAACATGCATGTTAGGCTGATTGGTAAATCTAAATTGTCCCTAGGTGTGAGTGAGAGAGTGAATGGTTGTTTGTCTCGTTTGTCTCTATGTGGCCCTGTGATGGACTTGCGACCTGTCCAGGGTGTACCCCGCCCCTCGCACAGTGATTGCTGGACATGGGCTCCAGCGACCCCCGTGACCCAAAATGGAATAAACGGGTAAAGAAAATGGATGGATGGATGGATAGCAGAAATTACCATGAAAAGCTTGAATTTATCTGAAAACAGCTGAAATTAGCTAAAATTGCTGAAAAGATAGAACAAGCTTAAATTAGCAGAATAAACCAGAAAGAACATGTTTGCCCAATTAGCCTGAAATAAGCAGAAATGAGCACAAAAAGGTGGAAATTATCTGAAAAAAGCTGAAATTAGCAACAAACAAAAAATAAAACAGCTGAAAAGAAGTTAAAGATACAAAAAAGAAGGTGGAGAGAGGAAATTTTTGCTGAATTAGATTGAAAAATGTTGAAATGAGTACAAAAAATGTGGAATTAGACCAAAAAGCTATAAATTAGCGCTGAAATAGCAGAAAAAGCTGAAATTTGCAGAAATAAGCTAAAAGAGCATGACAGGATGAAATTAGCAGAAAGAAGTTACAAGAAGCACAAAAATATTGAAAGGAGCACAAAACAACTGAAAAACCAGCTGAAATTAGCTGAAAGAAAAAAGTGTAAATTTGCAGACGGAAGCTGAAAGAAGCTGAAGAAGAACAAAATGTGAAAAGAGCAGTAAAAGGTTGTAAACATATGTAAATGTGAAGGATGTAAAATGAGCTCAGTTCATTTTTCATGAGGAAAAAGTATCAGAAAAGTCTAAATATTTGAGAAAGCTAAAGTTGCACCAATAGCAAATGTCATAGCAGAATTGTCCTGAAAGAGCTGAATGTTTTGATTTATTTGAAATAGCTTGAAAACTGTGGAACGAGAAAGATGCTGAAAACTGTATAGAAGAAAAATGGTTCAAAATAGAGTGAATGCTTCACGAGCGTTCACACAATGACAGTCAGCCTGAGACCAGTCATCCAAAGTAATAGGCAGAGCATGGAGGAATGAAGAAGAGATGGAGCTGGTGGAGATGAGTGACAGCAGGACAGCTGCAGAAGTCATATGGAAGTGTTACAGGATGAGACCTGCTGGATTTGGACTTGGTGGCTTTAACAAAATGTCAGGAGGATGAAGTGGCAAAGATGAAGATGTTGGGATTTTTATTGAGAGACAGCTCAAGTTTGGAAACAAAGTTAGAAAGGCAAAGCTGAGATTGTTTGGACATGAGCAGAGGAGGGACAGTGGACATGTTGGACTGATGATGGAGGAGAAGACAACGTCCACTGACAAATGTAGTGAAGAATATGCAGAGGGCTGGTGTGACAGAGGAGGATGCTGGGGCAGATGATCTTTGGAGACCGCTGAAAGAAGCAGATCTTCAGCTTGTCTGCATCTGTGAATGTCTTCCAGCACACGGATGCTGCTGGTGCCACAGCCCTTCACCTGGCCGCTCGCTTCGACCACGTGGAGGTGATCCAGTGGCTGCTCTCTGTCGGGGGCGCGGCCCATGTGGAGACGAGCTGTGGAGCTGTACCTGCTCACTATGCTGCAGCCAACGGGAGTCTCACCTGTTTGCAGCTGCTCATCCAGGAAACACCTGGGTGAGTTTAGCTTCTTGTTTTCTTACATTTCAGCCCTGCAGCACCTTCCATGGCCCAACCTCAGAGATGTTCTCAACAGCTGGAACGATTGATGAGACTGAAGACAGACACGAATGGTCCCCAGATGATGAATTCTACCTGCTTCTTAGTGATTGTTTCTTTTAGTGCCACCATCTGGTCAGATCTTTGTTCAACACGTTGGCTTGACAAACAAATTGTCACCATGAATGACTTCTTTCTTTGTTCTGTTGTAAAAACATCTGGAAACTTTGAAAGTGTGTAAAGACTGTCATGTTTCAGAGCTCAAACTGCTGCACCTGTATCAGTTTGGTTGACCTTCAGGTGACCCCTGCAGGTGATACCTGCAGGCAGGTGAAAGTGTCTGACAGCAGGACGGGGACAGCTGCTGTAAGGTGACGGAGGGTTGAATGTCCTTTTTTATAAACAGAAAGCTAAACCTCACTTTTCACTTTACTTCCTGCAGGTTTGCTTAAAAAACCTGTTTGAGCTGTTTGTTGATCAGCGTTGACGTGTGCTGAAGACTTAGTTACATTCATTTCTAAACACAAATACACAGTGACGTTCTGTTAAACCATGTCAGGACTGTGTTACAACACAACTATCTGTTTGTCACCATCACCTGTCACATAAACACGTCAACAACATATCTCATGAACCTTTGGATGGATTTAATTAAAAGTAATAAACTTTTGGAGTCAACCCAGTTCAAGATGGCTGCCACAGCAAACACAACACCTAACTGGCTGTAACTCAGTCAGTTACTGATAATGAGGTCATATTTGGTGTGGTAATAGCTGAGAGTCATCCCTAACAGACACTCTGAGAGCTAACATGTCTCATGAGGTCCTGAAATGTTGAATAAAATGTTTCTGGGTTTGACCAGAAGGATTAAAACAGTCTTCGTAAGACGATCGTCATGGTGGGGGTCGTTTTCACTTTTTCAAGAACTTTAAGGCTCTTAATTCTCAAGAGAAATTCATTATAGAAACTCAAAAATTTAATATTAAAGACTAAAGGTTTTTGTTGTTTAGAAAAACTTATTTGATTTGTTGTCCCCTGACGAAGAGTAAAGAGGGGGAATAAGAAATATGGTCTGTCCGTCCGTCTGTCCATGATAACTTGAAGAGTAAGCGAGACACCGACTTCATTTAGGTGTGTGTCTGCATCTAGGTGTAGAAAAGGTGTCTATCAAAACTTGGGCTGGCACAGCAAAATCCAAGATGGCTACTTCAGTATATACTATATAAGTAAACTGGCCTCCCCAAGCATTTGAGGAAACGGCTTTTTAGTTTTTACGTTGATTAAAAGTTCATTTGTTCTTTCGGCTGCTCTCCTCTTCAGGGTCACCTCAGTGAACTAACTCACACGAAGACTTAATTGTTTTTACCCCAGGTGTTCTTCCTGATGCAACCGCAGACCACCGAGCTACCACAGCCCTCTGTGTGGAGCAGAGAGCTGCATCTAGGGCGCTCGGGGGAGATGATAGTGGGGGTAAGGGCCTTGCTCAAGGGCCCGGGGTGGGGCAAATGAGGGTGGAGACAGGTGTGGGTGCTTCACCTTTCACACCCACATTTTTTGATGTTGTCGATTAGGGGAGTTGATCCGGCGACCTTCTGGTCACAGGCCCACCTTCTCTAACCTCTGCACCAACACGCCGAAGTAAAGTTTCCTCAAATGATCGGGGTGGCCCAAGATTCATTGATGGTGGCCACCACTGTCCACCCCCTGGCTCTGCCTTTGTGCCTTGATGGTGAATGAAGTTGCTCCCTCCACTCATCATATATCATCACTCTGCACCGTCTGGAACAAGCAAAATAAATAAATAAATAAATAAATAAATACCTCTGTTCTTCTACACGGTGGAACTCCAACCAAAGACATTAAGGTTTATTTGCATTCGCTGTTCACTTCCAGTCCAGAATAACACTCATCTAGAAAATTACAAACATTTACTTTTCTAATCCCTCAGCAACGAGAGACATCGACATAATGCTGGTTAACTTTAAATCATCAAAATGTAAATGACCATTTTCCTGTTAAATTGCTAGACTCTGGTCCTGTTTACAGAAGTGTTCTTGTTGCAGTCTAAAACACTGCACAGCTGTTTGGTGTTTCGACTGTAAGCCCTCTCACACAGCAGCAGCTGGACAAAGGCTTTCTGTTCACTGTCATATAAGTGCACGAGCCCCGTCCTGCTCCGTGCTCGTCGTGTCACAGCAGAGCCTGTCTGTAATCCTCATGAAGCGGTTCGGCTCAGGCCGCTGCAGAAAGCTGTCAATCATAAAGGGTTAAATGTTGTTCATCGTGTCACATCTGCTCCGGAGGTCCATCAGAACTGACCTCCAATGACAGATAAGTAGAGAAGTTGCATTTCCTGTGAAGATGCAGTGCGAATGTTTACTGCTGAATGATTGTTGCTGAACGATGCTGAAGAAGCTGAAACCAAGCTGACAAGGTTGTTCAAGACAGTTGAATTTGAACAGCTGACATTAGCTAAAGGCAGGGAAAGCTCAGAGAGAAGCTGGATACCAGTAGATTACAAAACGTTTGAAATTACCAACAAACAAAAAAAACTAAAATTAATTTAAAAAAAATGAAATGAGCAGAATAAAGCTGAAATGATCAAAAGTAGTAGCTGATAAAACTAAAAATAAAGCTGAAATTAACAGAATGAGGCTGAAAAGAGCAGAGAAATTTGAAATTATTAAGCACAAAAGGCTAAAATTAGCAAAAAAATTAAAGCCACTGTGATTTACTTGCGACCTGTCCAGGGTGTACCCCGCCTCTCGCATGGGCACCAGTAACACCCACAACCCAAAAAGGAAGAAGTGGGTAAAAGATAATGGATGGATGGATAAATACTAAAAGCTAACAGGAAAAGCAGAGAAAAGCTGAAATTAACACAAAGAAGCTGAAAAAAACTGAACCAGAACAACAGCTGAAATGATTAGTAAAAGCTTTTAAATCTGATTTTACTCTTTTTCTCTTCTTCACAACAACAGTCATTCTACACACAACTGATGCTGTCTCTCCCCTGCCACAACCGTACAGTCTCCAATCTCCCTCAGGTTTCCTCTTCTACACGAATGTAGTCGACCTGCGTACTCCTTCCTCCACTCTTATAGGTCACTTTATGTTCCGCCCTTTTTTGGAAATAAGCATTGACTACAACCATTTCCATTCTCTTGTCAAAATCCACCACCATCTGTTCTTCCTGGTTTCTTTCCTTGACACCAAACCTACCCATCACTTCCTCATCCCCTCTGTTTCCTTCACCAACATGTCCATTCAGGTCTGCTCTGATCACCACTCTCTCCTCCCTGGGAATACTATCCATCACTTCATCCACATCACATCCAACTTGTTGAACATAACCACTGACAACATTTAGCATCAGGCATTCTTCCTTCACACACATCACCCTATCTGACACTCTCTTCACCTCTACTACATTCTTTGCCAACCCCTCCTTCAGGACCACCCCTACTCCATTTCTCTTTCTATCCACACCATGGTAAAACAGTTTGAACCCTGCTCCAATGCTGCGAGCCTTGCTGCTCTTCCACTTGGTCTCTTGCACAGATAAAACATCTACCTTCCTTCTCTGCATCATGCCAGCCAGCTCTCTCTTGGCAAAAGTGTTTTACGTCAGATGCCCTTTCTGACACAACCCTCACCATTTACCCAGGGTGGGGACCAGCACAAGAGATGCACTGGCTTGTGCTCCCTAGTGGCTGGTTTTTATTGAGAAATGCATGTTAGATAAAACTAAATATTTTTAAACGTTAAAACTGCATAAATACAAAAAGTTATAGCAGTAATATTAGTTTAAACCTCTACCATGCAATGCAAATGAGATTCAATGAACTTTAGGCCTTGAAATAAATCATCACATCTTCACGTGCTGTTTCAGCTGATGTATTTTTATTGTCACGTGACTTTGGGTCATAATGAAGCAGAACTTTATCTCTCTGCACTAACATCACTAACATCTGTGGACATTTCATGTCTGATCATGTAACACAGCTTGTTGCTTCTGTGCTGCTGAGCACAGGTGTGTGAACCACCAGACAGGTATGGGTGCTACCCCCCTGTATCTGGCCTGCCAGGAGGGGCACCTGCACGTTGCTCAGTACCTGGTGAAAGAGTACGGTGCAGACGTGCACCTGAGAGCCCACGATGGGATGACCTGCCTGCACGCGGCTTCTCACATGGGCCATGAAGCTGTGGCGGTGTGGCTGGTCAGTAGGAAGTGATTTGTTTATTTCACGTAAATAAACATGTTGTTTGTGTTGATCTTTGTGTTTTAACTCCAAACAGGTGACGTGCACCGATGTGGGCTTGTCCTGCCAGGACAGAGAAGGAGCAACGCCGCTGCACTTTGCGGCCAGCAGGGGGCACTTTTGCATCTTAGAAAAGCTGCTTCACATGGGGTCAAAGGTCATCAAGGACTACTGGGGAGGGACCCCTCTTCATGATGCTGCAGAGAATGGGGAGCTGGAGGTTGGCCTCAGCTCTTTCTTTTGTTTTGTCACATGATATTTTTAATAAAACACAGTTTTACTCAAATTAATTCTGTTTTCTGGTGGTTTTGAAATTTGCTCTTCCAGTGTTGTAAGATCCTGTTGGCTCATGGAGCAGACTCCACAGATCAGGACATTGATGGGTTCACAGCAGCAGATCTAGCAGAGTACAACGGACACGCTGAGTGTGCACGATATCTCCGTACCAAAGAGAAAGATGTAAGTTCTCCGGTTCAGCCGCAGTAATTTTTTTAATTTTGCACATGTCCCTGCTTTGTGTCCTCTCTCTGAGTTTTTTGGCCTTGACATGAAAATCAAAGCTTGAACGAGTCAACAGCAAACATCTGGAAGTTCCTGGGCCTTCGGTGAATCATTTTCTTAATTAGTTGCATGGATTTCATTCAGGTCAAGCCTGTCATTTTCCTGAGCGGCGCTCCTCCACTCAGCCTGATTGCACTGCTGCTCTCAGTTTGAGAGTTCTAGGAGAGCGAAGGATGAGGCTGTTGTGTTTAATAAGGCATTACGGGCCATGATGGCATGCGTTCTGGAAGAGATTTTTCCTTCTCAGCTTGCCACCGAGGACTCACAGAGGAGATTAGCTCTTTTGTTTGAAAAGCACGACACTCCTTAATGCAATGAATATTTTAGAGGCAACAACTTGACATGAGATGAGATGTTGCATTTGTTTTTTTAGAAACAGAGAATTGCACCTAAATTAGACCAACGTATTGTTGGGTTGGTTTTAAATAGGAAACAGAATAAAGTGAGCTGAAGGACTTCTCTGTCAACACTCTTGTCAAACTTAAAAGCCTCACAGCTGTTCACTCAGCCTCCCATCGCACTTCAATCACCTATGATGGGGGCTAAACACAGATGAACTCAGAGTAACCACAGCTGCTGGTCAATACAAGCCATGAATAAGTCAGCAGGGCAGGGTAGCGCTCATCAAATGATGACGATGGGGAAGCAGCGAGACGTGGCCGCCAAGCTCCCCTTCAGGAACAATCAACAATAGAAGCTAATTAGCGCAGTGGCTGCTGTGGCGTCAGATGCAGTTGAAGCCGCTGCGAGCCGATGGCCTATCGGTTTCCTCTCTCCTGCGGCTCAGATGGAGGACTCTGGGCCTGAGCTCGATATGGGATCCTCAGGTTTATGTTTCAGAGTTTTCACCGTTCTGATGCCTGGAACCAGCAACTCTATCCCTCTGACGACCAGGAGAGCAGGATGTCATCAGCTTCAAACGCACACTTTAATGTCTCTTGTTTTCATTTTTTTCCAGTGACAGACGTGTTATGATCGTCACCTCCAGGGACTGTGTAACATTGTAGCAGACATAAGGATGGGTCATGTTTCCTGAGATTGATGTGAACAAAAGACTCATTTTGACTGAGAGGGTAAAATAATCAAACCTCAGTATTTGGGGCAGGATGAGACGTAATGCTTTAAAAACCCGCTGAGCCAAACACGAGCTGCTGGGGAAGACAGAAGACGTTCCTTAATTACATTTCTGCTGGTGGGTCATGTTTGCAAAGTGTTTCTTTGTTCTTAGGTTATACGTGGTCTAAAGTGGCAGTCAGAGCACATCATTTCCGAGCAGTGACCCGAACGGTTAGAGATGTGTTCACACAGAGGTCAAACACACGCTGCACCTCTGTGAGAGCTGCCATCAAATAAACCAGCAGTGCTGTTGTAGTTTCTCTTCACACTCTTTTTACTTATATCCAATGCTTTTACAAAACAACTGTTATTTTTAGAAACTTGATACCATTTAAATAATCAGAGGCTTTTGTAAAAATATGGCATAATTACCTTTAGTTTGTTATAATTAAGGATGCACGGTATTGGATTTTTGGCCGATATCTGATATGTTGAAACGTTGGTTACGTACTGTAACCCCAGATTCTATGAGTATAGGCGTAGTCCTTTAAGGCTATCGCTAGTGGGTTTATTGCTAGGCGCTCAGCACAGCACTGAAAACTTTAGTCCACGCCCACCTACTGTGTGGGCCTCACCCCCGGTCCGTATAAATTACGGTGAGACCGGGTAATCGGCTCCCAAATAGATTTTTTTCAGCCATTTAGGAACCAATGAGGCCCAGAGCTTAAAGGGCTGTGTTTATACTCAAAGAATCTGGGGTTACAGTACGTAAGCAATGTTTTATTTCATATAGGCTTCGCCCTTTAAGGCTGTCACTAGTGGGTTAAAGGCGAAGCAGGATGTAGTCTATGCCTCACTGGGTCCATTCAGACAGAAGCACCTGCTTGCACAAAAAAACATTTCATCACTCAGCCTCCTGTGTGCATAATTACGCGCTGCGTAATTGTGTGCTCCATGCGCAGGAGCGCACCGGAGAAAAGATCTCTGGTGAGGAAAAATTAAAGGTTGAGATAGCAGACCTGCTGCTGTGAATAGGAATGACGGAGGATACGAATTGTAACAGTGTAACCATGAACAGAGCAGACCAACAGCTCCTCAGGATGAACCGGTTAATAACAATAAAATCAGCAGTCATGAACTTGTGACTGACAATAAATATCTCACACTGCGACTGCATGCAGGCAGGTGTGAGCTCAAAAGTGAGGCTCCGTGAAACAAATAATCATTCTGTCAGAACCTTGAAAACAGAATGGGTCATGGAGAAAGTAGAAACATCACATAGATAAAAACGAATAATTGAACATGGCGATGACCAGGCAGCCGCCATACAAATATTCTCCACTGTCATCCCTCCATGCAGAGCCATGGAGGATGAAAACCCTCTGGTGGAATGCGCTGAGATTCTCTGGAGAATCCAGTCCAGATGAACTGTAAGCTTCAGAAATAGCCTCACACAACCAGTGTGAGAGGCGCTGGGTGGATAGAGGACGTCCTGAAGAGCTGTCCCAGTAATGCACAAACATATGCTGAAAACGGCGCAGTGTGGCCGTAACACTTAAGCATGCACATGGGACAGAAGGAGGTGAGATGTTGCTTCCTCCTCAGAATTATGGGGAAGAGGATAAAACCCATCCAAGGTTATCACGCTCGATCTGAATGAGCTTGTGATGTTTTTCAGAGCAGGGTTAAAATGCAGTACAGCTGAACTGCCGTCAGCTTGAATTCTGAGACGAGGGAGCAACAGAGAGAGCAAACAAACACTCACTCTCTTTGCCGATGTCAGAGCTAACAGCAGGGCTGTTTTGTTTGCTACCAAATGCAGATGCCCAAAAGGGGCTGAAAATGATGTATCACTTCAACTTGAACTATGTTTAATGTTAAATATATTCATGACATTTACTCTCTCTAACACAATGACAACACTCGAACAGTGCAAATATGTAAATTTTCACAAATCTAATCTCAATCTGTTCACAAGCGACAAGTGAAAAATGCATAAGTAGTAGTGCTTCAATAGATGTACTTGACAGGAATGGTGGTTCTTGCGATGGTTAATTAGATTCAAAGTGTTGCAGGACTTCGTTTTTTCTCCTACTCACATCACTGACACTGAGCAGTCATTGCAAATAACAGTTCTGCTATCTGTTTCCAACGCTTTAAAAAACTTCCACACCGCCGACATTTTCACTTCTTCCTCTCCTGCCGTGATCAGATCAGGTAGGCGCGCATGACGTCATCACGTTGTGCTGGCGCTGCAGGCATCCTTGTCACTGGGTTGTCATACGAAAACAGCGTCTTTAATATCAGTGAGTCATTTTGATGGAATGGAAGATTTCCGATATTTAACTTGATCACTAATATTGGCCGATACCGTGCCGATAATATTGTGCATCACTAGTTATAATTATTGATATTGAGCTAAATGTTGATGTGTTAATAGTTGAGTCATTTACAACATGTACTTTGAGAGTTAACACATTTTGCAAGATCTCACATTGAGCACAATGTTTGATAAAAATAGTTATAACTTCCTCTCTTCTTATCATATGCTGAGCTTAGTTTGAAACTCTGGCAGGAGAGGTATACATTTTTTGAGGAATGAATGAGGGATCTTTAATTATAATAAGGAAAATGTGCTTTAAAAACATTCTGTCTTCATTTTATTAGAACTGAAAGAAAAAAATCTAAACTAAAAACTGTTTTCAGCATCTCAGGTGAACATGTTCACATTTCATGTGTGTGAAATGGTTTAAGACTTGAACTTCTTAAAAACAAGTTATTTTTTATTATTATTTTAATCAAACATACGTTCATCTAACAAGACTTCTAGCCATGCAAATAATAACTCTGGGGAGTCTGTGCTGTTAATGCAGCTATACAGTATATATTAGAGCCTGATCAATATGGAAATTGTGGCTATCACCAATACCGATATTGGGAAGGAAAGGCTTATGCTGATAACCAATATAATTGCTGAATTTTTTTTTTTAGCTTTGACCACTCTCAAGAATTTAAGAAAACAGCAAGTGGTTTGGAGCTTGTTTATTTAGTTCAGCTGTTAGCAACCATGAAGCTAAGCTAATCAGATCCACGCTATACGCATTCCACACTAGGTTTACAAGTGGAGCACTGGTCTTCCCAATGTGCGTTCACATTTTCTATCCTCCACTATTCACCATAAAGTTATCAAGTGTGTTACAACAATATAAATGAACAAAGAACCTCTATTCCCTGTTCATTGTAAACAGTCAGCCATGTATGATGAATGTCTAATTAGTATTGACTGCTGTAGACTTTATTTTTCTTTGGAGCCAAGTAAAAATTTAAGATAAACAATGTATTTCATTGAGGATGACAAAGATAACTCTATTAATGTAGATATGTTTTACTTCTACGTTAGATTTATTGTTCTGGATAAAGTTTTACAAGGCAATGGTCTATGCTAGGCTATCTAAACGTTAGCTTGCTAACTTGAGAGGCACGTAGCTAATGACAAGCTGGTTGGAGGATTGAAGAGAATTTATTGTTGTTGATTTGTTTTACAGATCAGTTAAAATAAACTTACCATGCTCAGTTCAGCAAAATACTCTACACAGTATTGTTCCCTGCTTTGTCTGTGCTGAAAGTGAAACTTAAGTGAACGGCCATGACTTGAAAGTAGTATTCATGCGCCCTCTGCTGGATACATTGTACAATTACAGCTGGTTCCAGCATTTCGGGGTGAAAATTATAAGTGTTTGGTGCATAATGGGACAATTATCCCCAATACCGATATGTCCCCAAATGCCTATATAGGCCTAAACTATCGGCTCTACCAATATATCGGCTGGGCTCTAATATCT